TTATATAATAATAATAATAAGAAGAAGAAGAAGAACAGTAATACATCATAGTAGGAATATTAATAAAATACAAATACATAATGTGCGCATACTATTGCTTATGCATATGTTCCGGTAAGAACTTCTGCACAGGTGTCTATATGTATGTATGCATTCAATATCGCTCAATAACTCGGCTACCGGCTACAACAACTTCATGTATCTAGACCTCCCTCATTAAGATCAAAAAAATCGGGATGTGAACATTGTAGGCAGTGTTCTTGGATCTGTTAGCTATATACTACTATATAGTTTAGACATGTTTAGACGGAGTTAGCTATATACTGCAGACGGAGATAGGGACGATAGCTGAAACTAACCTAACTATTTTGAACTCCTTACGCACCTAGCTGACGGACGAACTCGTCCAGTCTGCTCGGGAGCTCGAGTGTGGGATCTCAACTCTCGAGGAGGCTCCAAAGGCTCGACGCAGGTCATAGCAAAGCACGCGAAAGTGGGGGCATGATCGGTTCGCAGCTCATGAGCACATTACCTCACCCCAACAGCACCCCAAACCTCGGAACCCTACACCAAGCACATGCTTGGAGCATGAGATTCCGGGAGATTATGCGCTAAGCTTGGCAAACTCTGGAGATGCCAATGCAAAGTTCCCTGCTTCTTGGGCAAAGCCAAAGCCTCATCGCTGGTGAGGACCTCACATGGCCGAAGCAAATCGCGCGGCACCACGTCCCACGAGAGACAGACAGGGAGAGAGCGAGACAGAGAGAGTGTGTGTGGTAAGACTTCATGGGACATCATCTTGACCGCCCAAATTGCTGCTGTAGGCAATAACACCTTCTTCTCCCTTGCGGTTGCAACGGCATTCATGCAGGATTAGACAGATGGTTTCAGACGGAAAAATCCGGCATTTTGCATTTTTCAGCAGGTGGAGAAATCAAAAGGAGCCAAAGGAACACTGGACTGGAACCCTAAGGCCAGCTTCAGGGAAAGCAGCGAAAAGTTGCAACCACCCTGACGAAAATCACGTTTTTCCTGGCCTCATTCGCTGGAGTACGTAGTCTTGGGGATCAGGGCATTTTTTGGTATCTGTGTTCCATCTCTGCTCATTTGGCTGGCCTTGCAAGGGCTATCGGACCGTTTAGAAGGCAAGCCACTGCGGACCAATTTTGGCAAGGATTATTTGTGCGGTGTTTCTGACAACTTCCAGATGCATGGTCTGCTCTGCTGACGATGTGCAGGACTCCTCTCTCGCTGCCCAAACTAGCAGGAACAGCGCGAAACACCACAAACGAAAAGGCTACCGTAGATATTCCTGAATCCCGGAATCGGTCGGGCATTCTATTCGCCTACTAAAAAAGATAGCGGGCAAGCAACGTCAAGGAACCCTCAAGCAAGGCGAGGTCTGAACGAAGGAAGTCTCAAGGAAACCCAATCTGAGAAAGAGACTGCGGCTACAGGGTTCCCTCGCTGATGGCCTGCGGCCTGGCCCTCATTCGACTTCTACTCAGACTCGCTGGAACCCTCAAACCTTTGCCGAGAAGAGTCGGGCAAAAAGAACCTTCAAGCTCCAAGAGCCACAGCCAGCACGATAAGATGCCGACACCATCAAGGTCACTGCCCGGAATGGGCCTTGAAGAAATCGTAAAGAAAGAAAGGATGCACGTCTTGAATCACGAACTCAGCAGCGGCAGTGCAGCATCGGACTTCGACTGACAGAGAGGGCATCCCAACTATGAGCCGCAAAGCAAGGTGCTTACGAGTTGTCTTTACGTTAGACTCTTACGCATTCCATGACTCCGAACCCGTGTGGATTGTGTTCTTCCGCAAACATAACACAATACCTGGTGTCTGGACTCTGAGTCTATAGACATGACCTTGAATAAGTCTTTAAGTAACCCCTAAACCCTAAACCGTTTAGGCAATAGTAACAGCACAGCACGGGCCCCGACAGCCGCTGCGCTCGACCGCCCGTGGCAACGCAAATGTACTTGGCCGTGTGCTTTTCACCATTGACCTCCAGAGAAACAGGAGGTCAAACGCAATTGGGCTTATGAGGCCAGTGAGAAGAACAACACGGACATTTATCACATGAACAATAATAGAAGCCTTAATTATGCAATACTGATGCAAACAGTTGTATAGAGTTAAAAGTATCGGCCGAGTATGTCAACGTAGAATCTGGCGCCAAATCAAACTATCACTTGCATGCAGCGCAATGCACGCCGACACCTGCATGCTCCAGCAACTACGAAAGCCAGTTGCAATGAATCTGCCCGTCTGCAAACTGCTGGCGCCGCCATTTGTTGCTGCTGCTGGCACGGCTAACACGACGACAACAACATTTTCTTTCGGTGCTCTAGCTGCAGTACCATTGCTAATTAGTTAGTTTTCTTCTGCACCTCGGCACGGACCCCATGTTCTGTTCACGGCTGGTCATGCAAGTGTTGGCAGCGGGTCTCCCTTCCCGCGGCGCCTCGATTGTGTGGGGATCCACAATGCGAGCGTAGCCCTCGAAGTGCTTTACGCCTGCTCCGTCCTCAGGGAGTATTTGAAAATAAGTTTTGAAGTGCTCGGAATCCTGAAACCGCGTGGACGTAAGAGGAGGGAAGGGCGAATCTCACTTCACTGTCACTCTGAAGCCCTCAATCTAGGACATTTATCTTTTTGGAATTGTGTATACAGTATACCTTAGTGACACAATCAAGGCAGTTTCAAAATGCTGACTTTCCTGCTCAGCCGGTGGGAGGGTGGGACAGGGAGCAAGTAGGCAGGTTCTTGGCATTCGGAAAACCCGAGGCATCGGCGAGAAGCTTGGTGTAGATGCTATTCAAACCTCAGCAATGACGATGTGGCTGTAACATGGAAGTCACAAGTATACGAGGATATGCCTGGGGTGGCCCGCAAATTACGGGTACCAACAACAGGTCACACACCCATACATGCGTACGTGCGAGCGAGCGAGCATGCACGTGCACGTGTGCGTGCGCAGCGTGTGTGTGTGTGTGCTTTTGTTTGTTTGTTTGTTTGCTTGTGTGCTTGTGTGCAAGCACATTTTTTTTTTTTTTGTGTGTGTGTGTGTGTCTGTGTGTATGTCCCTGTCTGGGCGCGCTTGTGTGTATGCAGCAGGAAGTGCCTGCAAGGAATTTATGCAACTTGACCTGCGCGTCATGTCATGCTCACTTCGCAGACCTTAACACGTCGCCTGCACTGCTCCACCCGTGCCAGGGCTCCCTGCGAGTGACCTGCAGGGAGCGTGAGACTCCCGGACCGCGCTATAGACTGGTGGTTGAGGGAATATGATCTATGCTCGATGTTTCTACCATCTCTTCAGGCTACAGAGCACGACATTCTTACTATCCTCTGCTATACTCACGGCTATGTAGAGGCCTCTGCGTTCTTGGCTTCGATAAGCTTGTCCCAGTCTAGGTCGGGCGACACGCCTGGCAAGGAGCAAGAACCTCATGCAGCCACCCCCCAGCCCTATAGTCCTGGTCCCAGGTCCTGATCCTATGGTCTCTGTCCGCAATGAAACTATCCAGTCACCACGGCGTCAAGTCCACATACACCCCGACATTTAAGCAGGCCCGCCGGCCCTCTGGCAAAGACCAGCCATAGCCCTGGCCGTCTTTGATCTCCTCTTCGCAGTGTTACACGGGACGCGGGTCTGAATCAATGTTTGCAATAGCTTATAAGAATGGGGAATAAAAACAAGTGCGGTATGCTAGAAGTTATCCTAGCAGGTTTGGCATCAAAATGAACCGACACTCCGGCTACGCTGAAAGAGACATGCTAGTATACCAGCAAAAAAACGGTGCTTGGTGGGCCTTCCTCGAAAATCTCGCAATATCAATCATCGAGGTGACCATTCCCGTCGAAATGGCTGCTCGAAGCCGAATCCCATCACCCTGTTGTCTGCTGTTCAGACATTTGCTGACTGCTTCTAAATGTGCAGCCGGCAATAGGATCATCGGTTATTCATACCAACCTACGACGACAGGGCAGCTGCTGCGTCCACTTAAGCCCAGAGGCCCAAACTAAGTTTAAATTTGAAACCTCGAGCAAGATCCCACAATCCCGCAACAAGAGTTCTGAACTGACACGGCGTTAGCTTCGCGTTGGCATCATTTCTTCCGGGCAGCGCTTTCGCAAATCGATCGTCGGCGATACGCCTATAGCTGAACCAGAAGCTGGTTACCAACAAGCAACACATTTCACCACCCCCAAGCCTCCGACAGCATAGATTTGGGTGCCATCCGCTCTTGCAGTGTGCAATTGAAGGTTTGAGGGATCCTCGAGACCCGTTGCCCCAAACCTTAGCCCGAAGATACCCATGATCTCCCCAAGTACATGCGAGAGCCTACTTTTCAGGCTTCAGAAGCTGACCGAGAATAGCGATGGAATCGGCCACATAGTGCGGCTGATCTGTGCCTGGGTTGCACCACGAAAACAACATACAAACATACATAGGTACACAGGTACATGCACACATACACACGTACATACATACATACATACATACATACATACATGCATACGTACATACTTACATACTTATTTACTTACTTACTTACTTACTTACTTACTTACTTACTTACTTACTTACTTACTTACGCACATGCAATCATCCATCCATCCATCCATCCATCCATCCATCCATCCATCCACCCATCCGTACTCATCCATGCATCTATGAATCCATGGATGCATGCTGCTGCATGCATTTGGTCAATGCAGACGTATCTGAGCATGTAATGAGAATTTGGACTACATGCATATACATGCATATACAATTGCAGTCATCTGGGCCCACATACTGAAGGTAGGGTTTGCTCGCGGCGTCCGCGAAGGTCATGCCTGTATGCATGTCTTATCTAGTCCTGTGGCCACTTTACTATCTTCACCAATGGCTAATTTATGAGAACGTGATGGCTGCATGTCTACAGGCAGCGCTTTCTCAAGAGCAACCGGCATCCGATGCTCAGCGTGGCTGCGGACTGGATGCTATTCTCTTGCATGACTTCCTCAGGGCCAGAGCAACGGCTGAACCACATCACGTCCCTGTGCTAGGGTCACATGCAAGATAGGATAAAACGGAGCTGTTGAGCTCGATTCTGCAACTAGGGGTTGTAGGGGTCAGCAAACTTCGAAGCATTCGTCAAACCTGAGCAATCTTTTGCAACAAGGTTTTCAACATGTTGCATGACACGATCTGGCGCAGTGGTCAGCCCCTCCACCCTGCCTGCTCCGTCATGCTCCCACTTGCAACGAAGAGGGTCTGCATTCCCACGCTCCGGCCAAAGGCAATGTCCGTGTCGGTGCGATCACCTACCATGCCTGAGGCCGATGGTTCGGACTCTCGCCATTGACAAGCCTGGTGACAAGGGTTAACTATGGTGCGGGAACGGTCTTTGTGCAACAGGCGCTGGGCACAGCTTCAAAAATCAAGGTGGCATTGACCCGGGCCTGCGCAGTCTCATTGCCACTCAGACTCAAAAGCCACAACCAGCATACGACCTGTTACGAGGTCATTCACCGCAAGACACAAGACCTGCTTGGGTCCCGCCACCGGTCTCCCGCAAGCCTTAAACCCCAAAATGAATGGACGAATTGTACTTCGAGCTGCAGGTGGTGTCGGGCGACAGCCCTTTGGAGGATAGAAGGTATCGGGCCAGAGTTTCCTGAGCACACAGCAGCTGAGACGCGGCTAGCGAGCCGCCGAAGCTGCGGCCTTTTCTGCAAGAACTATAGCTGGTCTTTATTACAAACACGACGGGCCAGGTGGGCACACCCGTTTCCAGGTATTCTGCAAGTCATCTTAATAAATATGTTGGGTTGGCTTCGGCTTTCGTTTGAAGCAACAGGCAGGCACACAAATGTAGGTGCCAAAAGCCATCGCAGAAGGCCACGGCACGCCGCAATCCAAATATCATATCCTACTCATCACAACTGCAACGTTCCAACTTTCCGCCTTTACATCATGTCAACCAAGCAGCGCTAGGCTTGCCACAGACCTGAGAAAAATGCAGGCAGGGTGGTGATGCTGCAGCAGCGGATGCTAGCATTGATGCTGCTGCCGATGCCGTTGTGGTCATGAACCCTGCTCCTACTTGTATGTGCACCATCATGCTCGTCAATTTGCGCTTGCAAAAGAAAGGCCCCGACGATGTCGGGTTGACGCCCGGCGGCCACCTGAGGCACAGCTTAGGGTCTTGTCCAAATGCTTCTGGAGCCTTAATTAAGCATCATTTGAGGTTGCTTTACCATCTTGGGGCCGCCTTATAGGGATTCGAGGGTGATGCAACATAGCCAACATCCGTCATAAGTTCGAGAGCTCGGGATGCCACCTGCACGAATACGGGGCAAACCTTCGGGGCTGAAGTCTCTATGGCTCTATGGATTCCGCATCCTAAACTGCCTAAACTGGTGCAAACCTTCTTGCAGCAGGAGCTTGGTGTATGCCCGGATGTGCGGCTTGGCATGGTTCCACCCATGTAACCCAGGCCCTCTGAGACCCAAACCCTGGTTTCAGGCACACGGCTCAGACCCAAGAATTCCTCCAATCCTAACCGTCCCTAAGCCAAAAACCTCGTGTTGCCAGGTCAATGAGAATCAACACTCATCCATCGGAATGGCCGCATGCATCCAGGGCACTGCAATCGCGCTCCACATGGACCCTGCAAGGAAGAGTGAAAAAGTGAAAAGCGCCTAAAAGACTCAACTCGCAACTCGGCAGTACCAGAGTGTCTAGATTTTTCTCCTCCCTGTTCCATTTTCGGTTTCGTCCTCAGACCGATGCCCTACAGGCCTGCCTCGTTCTCCCTCCCGGGATCTGCTGTAAGGGATGTGTGTAAACCCGAAAAACGCCCAGGGCCTGAGCCCCACACTCTGGAAGGGCACCCCTTTGAAGCCCGCCAGATCTGATATTCCGAAAACCTGCAGAACGAGCCTCCGGCCAGGCCTGCGGCTGGGAAGAAGGTCCCTGGCGCCATCAACGCCCGGGGGTCCGGATTCGTGGCCACAAACCTTCAAGCTCTCTGGGGGTTCAATCTATTTAACAGTAGCCCCAAACCCAGTCCCGGTAGCAGTCTCAGCTTTCGAAGACAGGTATGATTGAAGATGATTTTCGGCGGGTTGACAGGTCGGGTTTAGCATTCTTTCCACATGGGCTTCGGGCTTCGGGCCCATCAAGGTCTGGTGGGAGCGTTTCAAAACTGATATCAATGCTACTACAGCAACCTCATAAGCACTACCTGAAACTTACGCTGCGTCCAGCGAAGGCATGCCTACTGTCACTACGGTGTCTTCAGCCCACGGGATGTTAAGCTTCCCACTGGCGATTTGTACGGGCCGGCGCAACAAACTCGATCGGCACAAACACCAATAACAAGACTGAAAAACGTGCTACGGCACTAGCCAAGCTTGGCCAAATCAGATCAAGCACCCCATGGACAGAAGAAAAAAACCAAGAAAGCACTAATGATGACACTCTTCCTCCTTCTCCTGCTCTTCCTCCTCCTCCGCCTCATCCTTTTCCACTGCCCCTGACCACACTCCCGCCCTTCCGAACCATCGGTAGTGCCGCTTGTTGTGTCCTGTCCCATCATGACTCTCAGCCTCAGAAGGTGTAAGAAACCTCTACCCTGCTGCCCACGGCACAAAGCGCCAGGATTCTGGCGCAAGTAGTTGGCGGCCTGCTTTTGCTGGCACAAGGAGTGGCGGACCGCCTAGACTCCTGGACACCGAGTTCACAGTCCAGGGTTCATTATGCGGGCTAAGGTCTCAAAGTTCTCTTTGCGTTGTCGATTTGAGGAATAGCTGCTAAATCTCTCTTCCGTCTCACTATGTCTGCTTAGGGTCGCGAAACAAATGGGCAATCTATCAATGCGGTTCCCAAATCTGCAGGTCGTTCGGAATGTGGATTATTCTGACGCCAACTGTTCTTATCAGGTCTCCACGGAAAAATTGTACCCGTGTTCACAAACAGCGCCATGCTGCAGAGCGGACATGTTTTGCTGGGACTCGTGCTTATAGAACGACAGTGGCAGCTGATGCGACTGCCTTCGGGAACAGCATCAACGACTGCGATGACTACGATCTTCCACTAAACTTACGGCTTCTGCTGCTCATCGGCCGGGCCTTGGCTAACTTGTAGTAGTTGAAGGCCTCAATGCCGATCGATACTATGCTACTTATAAGTGAATTCACGAGCACCAGCCCCATCGAGGGAATATTGCATGAATGGTTGGGTCCAGAAAGGCTTTTTGAGTTGGGACTGCGGCTGCAGGCGTCGGTCATCAGCAGGGGAGGAAAGGTGGTCAACTCCTCCTTCGCACTTCATTTTCTGAGCCTCAACCCTCAAAGCTCAAACATAAAACAGCCGAGCAACGAAGTCGGCCCCACAAACCACAGCAACCACCTCCTTTGCAGGTGGCTCCAGCTCTGGGAGGAAGGTTTTCATCACGTCCTGGGCCAAGGGTAAACCGGAAACAGAGTCAACAGAGAGCTTAAACGATCGGGCTAAGCGCTTGACTGCTTGGTCAACGCTTTTGGTTCAAGGTTGAAGGCGGGTAGCTGTGAAAGACCATCTTTAGTAGTCATGGAGCTGTTCAAGCACTGCGTACAGTAGTCCAACGTGACACGTGTTTGCTACACAAAATACGCTCGAACTGGGCAAATGTCCTGTTGCTTTCTGCAGCTTTACCCAACTTTTGTTGCAACGTTTGGATCCGCGTTTCTTCGCACCCAGACTCGAAACCATTAGAGTTTAAGGTTTGGGGGTTTAGGGTTCGTGAGCTTCCACCGAGGCACCTCCCGATCCTTCCCCGCATCCTCCTCGCCACCGCAGGTGAGAACACCGGCCCTTTCCTTCGGGGCTTGGACTTTGAAGCAAGGGGCTTTGGGATAAAGACCGCAGAGTTTCGCTTCGGACTTTGGGGATTTGGGGCATAGACAGCCTTTTGGTAAGAGTGAGGAGGCGAGAAGTTCTTGCCATGACCTCTGAATTCTCGTCCACTCCGGGCACCAGCTCGCATCTTTATTTCGCAGCGCCTATGTTGGCGGCAAGGCCCTTGAAAAGTGGCCCTGAAGCAGTAAACCGCTCCCGCAAATCCTGCAAATCACCCTGAAAAGCTTGCCATCTAAAACCTACTTCGCCAGCATCAGTTCGAACCCGTCAACCCCGAGCTCGTAGGTCACACTGCGAGTCCTCGAGGCAGTCGCACAAGGCTTTCATTCCCACCACCTTAGCGAGCCGGCACTCCGCTTGACGCACAAAGAGACTACCTATAGTCTCCATCGCAGTTCCTTTTTTGGTTTAACCAATTTCATATTAAGGATCCTATAAGGTAACCCTAAAAAGGAACTGCAATGGAGACTATAGGTACAGTTGGCTGTAGTCTGACGACGGAGGCTCTATGTTTCGATGTCTCGCTTTGAGAGAATTGTCCCTGCTGCACCTGAGCTTACAGATCGTACATCAGGGTCACAAGTATTATCTTGCCTACCACGCTGTGTTCGCTTGAGGGCGTGTGGTACTGGACCCCAGGACCCCCAACACCTAAACACAAAACCCTGCGTCCCAAGATCTGCAAGTCAAGCTCTGCCACCCTCAATCCATAATCGGCCCTTCTGGAATTTTTGCGCCAGCAGCAGCTTGCCATTGCTAAGGCACCGAGTGCCACAGCAGCAAAGACCGAAGTACGATGCGTTATTGCACATGGCACCGCGGGGGAGGTGGCGGAGGAGGAGCCGAGCATTTCCAAGCCGGGTTTCTAGAAAGGATGTGGTAAACGGCGTAGTCTACGGCCGCAGAGATTCCCACATCATCGTGCGCCGAGGTCTCAAAGTATGTCAGGCCCTCTGCTTCCGCATAGCACTCTGCCTCCTGTCGCTGGATCCTCCGGTAGATGGTCAAATCTGCTTTGGTCCCGATCCTGGGTAGGTTGGAGGCTTCTAGTACAACTAGTGTTTCTGCAGCCAACTAGAACGAAGAACAGCCCAGGGGCAGCAACTTTGTGCCGACGGCCTGGCTCTGAGGAAGAGCCAACAAAGGCGCAAGCGCCTCCAGAGACTTCGGGTCAGTGAGATCCACCACGAAAAGCCTTCTGAAATCCATGAAGGCATCAAAAAAACATCAGGGTTTTTTCGAAACAAGGGAAAGACTATAGGCCCTGGGCTTGTAAACAAGAAGCAAGGCGTGCTTCCCCCGAAATTGCTCGGGCACCTCGAAACGGGAGCTTCTGGGTCCAGCTCGATCCCACAAGATGATCTTTACTGGCATCCCAGCGGCCATCGCATGAGCAACTGCAAAATCGATCCGCCTCGCTACTGCGGCGAAGGGGTCCGTGTTCGCGTACCTGCATACCAAACTGGTCTTGCCCACGCCCTGCTTTCCAAGAACACCGATGTGTATCCGTCGACTTGGAAGAGACGACGGCGGCATTCGCAACAACCGCTGCGGTTGCAAGATTTCTTGCATCTCTGTTGGTGAGGACTGTCTCGGCAGATCCAGGTCTCTGAGGAGTTCTGACTCCTCCAAGGCCCTGCCTTCCAAGACAAGGGTTCTCTTCAGCGTGGGGTCCAGAGTCCCACCGTGCTGGATCGCAGCCAAAATGTCGGCGACGCTTGCCGTCTCAGGCAGCTCCACTTCACCCAGCAGCTTCCCAGACAACTGCACGACACGCACCCTGCACTCCATGGCGAGACACAAGACAGCTTGTCCTCAATTGGTATGCAAAGCGCTTCGAAGATCGGCTTGCAGCCATGCTACATCTAGCTCAAGATTTGCACTTAGAAAGCTCATGCCAGCACACCCACGGCTGCAATTTTGGGGGCCTGTTCCTCGCTGAAACCACTGGGCCTCAGCGATGACAGGCAGTTCGTCGGTAGCGGTAGTAGTAGCAGTGGTAATGGTAGTGGTAGTGGTAAAGCAGAAAACAAATATAGTAAATAGTAGTAGCAGCAGCAGTACAAGTAGGCATCGTCGTAGTGTGGCAGTGCCAATGGCAGCAGTGGTGGTGGCAGTAGCGGTTTCAGTCTCAGCGGCGGAGCAGCAGCAGCAGCAGCAGCTGCTGCTGCTGCTGCTGCTGCAGCTGTTGCTATTGCTTGTTGCTGTTGCTGCTCTTCTCGTCGTACTACAGCAGAAGAATGTGGAGCAACAGGAATAGCAGCAGCAGTAGTAGGTTGTCTGGGCGAACAGACGATTCATCAAGGCTTCACTATCGTCCCGCGAACGCCACCGACTGACTTTTCTGGGCTGAAGCACGTCGTCGAGAGTCCAACAGCCACGCGAGGAAATCACAAGAACTTCTGTACATGAAGGCAACAGTGTGCCAGAAGTCAATGATGGCAGCAAGCCTGAGGTTTGGGCTAAGCCAGCCCTTGCATCTTGAGGGTTCAATTGCCAACAGGCCGCATGTCATTGCACAATGCAGCCAACGAAAGGTCGGGCAGGCTCTGCCACTAGCTGCGGCGATGGGAGGCTCTTCAGCTTTGAAAGAGCATGGAAAATTGCATAGTCCATGGCGGCATCCACACCCGTTCCATCTTCTGCAGACGTTTCGAAATAGGCCAGACCATTTGTAAGGGCAAACTGCTCCGCTTCTTTGCGCGAAACTTTCCGCTGGGCCATCATGTCGGCCTTATTGCCGATTAACAGCTTGGCTGGCATTGCTTGCACAGTGTCATGTTGCACCCATCTGCGAAGGGCTCGCAGAGATTGAGGGTCGGTGAGGTCGATCACCAGAAGGAGGGCATCCATTCCCAGAAGAAAAAGCGACGAGGGCAGCCCGGCCGGCCAAGTGTCCCGAAGGAGAACCCTCAACGGCGTATCATCAGCCAATACCCGTGCGAACGGGATCTCGACCATGGCCTGCCCGCGTTGCGAATGGTTCGTGGAATATCGGAAGGCCAGGCTCGTCTTCCCAACCCCACTTTCACCCACAACAGCAAATTGCACCAGCCGGCATTGGTTCGGTAAGGACATCACACGCTCTGCATGCTGTACTTGCAAGATCTCCTGCATCTGTACGAGTGGCGGACTTGGCAAATTCAGGTCTCTAAGGAGTTCTGACTCCTCCAAGGCCCTGCCTTCCAAGACAAGGGTTCTCTTCAGCGTGGGGTCCAGAGTCCCACCGTGCTGGATCGCAGCCAAAATGTCGGCGACGCTTGCCGTCTCAGGCAGCTCCACTTCACCCAGCAGCTTCCCAGACAACTGCACGACACGCACCCTGTACTGCATGGCTGTCATGGCTGGACCTACGCCCCCTGACTTGTACACCACAGTTTTAGAGCATGGGGCTAGTTGGGCCCTCCACTCCGAGCCAGCCAGGCTGAGGATTAGCGCATGCAAACTGTCAACCATGGGTCGAGATCACCAAAATTAAGTTATCGTCCACCTATTCACCCCTTTCGTGATTGAACCCGATGCCGCCAAGGATCATAAACTTTCCTTCCCTGCAGGCCTCCGGAGCACGGCAGATCTGTGCCAAAAGGCAACCCAATCCAAGCTTTATGAACTTCTATGCAGGAGTGGAGCATATGCATTTCACGGTGAAAGGGAGCATATAATATACCCAATCTAGTTGGGGGAGCAGGCCAAGCAAACGGTCAATCATAGCGCTTGCTCTTTGAACAAGAGCAGGTGGTGTAGCTCTAGCCAGCACTGTCGGTAAGGGAACCTGCGCTCACATTCCTGTGGGTGGTGATGGGGTTTCTTGCCAACTCCTCAAATCTCGGTCGGGCCTTTGCTGCAGAGGTAGTCGCCAGCCGCTATGGAAGAAGTCATTATTTCAGCCTTCTCAGCGGTCACGCCCAGCTTACTGAACAGTTGCATCAGGTCCTGGCTGTACACGGCAAAAAGCCCAAGCGGTTGAAGCTGAAACCCGAAGAGTCGAAAAGCGATGCACCCCAGAAGTAGTTACAGAACCTTTAGCATCCCAGCATTGAAGGTTAAGGGCTTTCTTCAAAGAGCCTTTCAGGTCTTATCCCATGGCAGTGTTTCGTGTTCAACTCTTCCGCTCAGGGGCTACTGCTAGTTGCAGAGGGCATTGCTACAATTTACAAGGGGTGTCAGGGCCTTCAGGGCCGCGGATGTAGGGTTAGAAATGGCTTGAGGGTGTTGGGTGAGAGGTTTGAAACACGGCCTGGGGTAGGTTCCCGAGGACCGGGTCTCCTGTCCTCCTGGCTTTTCGTCGCATTGTTGGTCATGAAGAGGACCTTGAAGCTGACGCCGGCAAAACCAGGGACGAATTAGGGTTTGGCTACAGCACAGGGTGGCCTCCCCACCAATCCGTAGACGGTCCGTAAACCGGGCCGAAGCAGAGAGAGAGAGAGAGAGGAAAAAAAGCAAGACAAACAGTTATGTACATGTGTGCAAAATTATATATAGATATATATGTGTGTATGTATGTATGTATGTATGTATGTATGTATGTATGTATGTATGTATGTACATATGTACATATGTACATATGTATATGTTTACGTATATGTA